CCTTGCTTACTTTAACCCCTTATGTGCCTTCGTGCTGCTGTAGTGGTTTAATTTAATCTAGGTATCCTGGAGGCAATGTCAGTGGTCCATTTCTAGTTGAGCCTAGAAGGGGCTGGGGAAGAACTGATCATTTCATACTCCATGTTATTTGCCAAGACTACTTTGTTCTTGAATACAAGGGGAAGGCATATGGACTGCACCAAATTTCAGTCAAGATATAGCATGCCTACAAGGTAGGCAAGTCTGTGGTGTCAGAGTCTAACTATGAGGTCTAGCAGCAGCTGCTATAGGTAACTGTAAACCATATATTGGGATGAACTAATTCCTTTGGAATTTTTGGCACAAAATAATCCATATATTTCTGAGACTGCTGGGACACCACTTCTTCTTAAATATGACTAGTGTGGTACAAGATAGCTGCTTACTTGCTCTCACTTTCAGAGCCCTTAGCAGCTGGCAAATGCCCCTTTGCTACCTGTACCACCTGATATGTTGGCAAAGATAGAACTCTTGTATTAGATAGACTTGTTGCTTAGTTTTCTGTCCTCCTCATGCTTCATCCATGACTGTTGCAAAACACATGCTGCAAAAAAAGGGCTCTATTCATCCCTTGTTGATGTTGATAGACATTGACAGTTGGCATCCATAGAAGCTGGACTGTATTATAAAGATTTTACAAGACAGTGGAAATTCTTTAAGAGTGAGGGCTTGATTACTGGGGGGGTGGGAGGGGGGATAGATCTCTTGGTGTCTTCAAATCCAAACCAGTGTCTTTCCGGAAAATGTGCTTTATCTAAACCTATTACATTCCATAGAGGGGTAACTGGGTAGAGGGCTGTGGCCTGATTTGTAGGACTTCAGAGAGGATGATCTAATGGTTCCAACTGGACTTTGAACTTTATGAATCTATAAAATAAGGTAAGAAGCTAATTTCCATCTACAGCAAACAGTAAACAAACCATATGGGATTGAATCTGGAGTTTTATTTTTTTCTTTTGCATTAAAAATTGCCTAACCTGCATGATTTATTTTCCTTTGATATTTAGCCATGAAGCTGTTTAGTTAATTATGTATATGAGTTTACAAAAATATTCTCTGTTAATGAAGAGGAAAGAATTTCTGCATGGCTATTAGACATCTAAAAATAAAAGTGTTAAATGAGGAAGGTGTCTATGATTATAGGGCTTTTCTTTGTAAAGAAGTTATTGATTGCACTAACAACAGTGGGTCACACACTCTGCAGATGTTGAACATAAAATAGTTGGGCAATCTTATCCATCATGGCTCTATGTATTTCATCCCATGCTGACCAAAGCCATGAAGAGCATATGAAACCACAACTCTGTATAACATTACCCAGACTGCTGTTACCTTGCTAGTAATGAGTGGAGGAAGGGTGTGACTCTTTAAGAAAATCTATTAAGTGCACAACAGTACTTCCTCGAATGGTGATCTCTCTCACTCCCAGGTGGGATGGTGGCTGTTGGGGTCTTGTACCAGGGGTCAGCCAGTTCTCACTGAAAAACCTAGACTGGAGCACTTGATATTTTTCATTTGAAGAGGGGGAATGAAAGTAGCTGTACACCCATCTACTAGAGCAGAAGGAGCAGCTAGGTTTCAACTTAATTTTAAAATGCAGGGGCCATCTGCTGATATCTGGGACCCCCCTGAACATGGTATGGAAACCAGGAAGTTGGTGCCTCTCATAGACAAAGACACTAGATTGGGGGCACCAAGTACTAAGTATGGTAAATGCTGAATCAGGTCATTGCTCCATCCTCCAGTCTCTTTCATCACTGATATTTTCACCCTGTGACCCATCAGCATGTTGTGTTGGGAAAGGTGGGAGCTGCTTGCTTTAAACAAATCATCTGTTTATTCTTGAAACAATTAGTGAGGGTAGTTGTATCTTGAAATAGTTACAGAACACACAACAGTTACAATTAAAATAAGTTCCAGATGGGACTTGAGAAGGGTTTGTTTTTGGTAACAAATTAAAATGGATTCCATGTCTTAAAATTCCACTGGCATCTAATGAACAGGAAACATGAATTCCAAGTAATAGTTTTCTACAAACAAAAGAGATGAACTCTGAGACAGGCCCATTCGTCTTTGCTCAAGTGCCTCCTTGAGGTTTGCATGTTGTTTATGTCATGCTGAGAGCTAATGGCTTTCTTCTTCCCCCATCTTTGCATTTTCAAACTTTTAGCTATTTTGGTTCTAGCAGAAACTGAGAGAGGAAGCTGATGAGCTCCTGCCAAAAGAGTTCATGTACCTGTGACCTCAGTCAGATGCATAGATGTTCCTAAGAATCTACAGCAGAGAGAACATGAAAAATAGCTGCAAGGCGGAAAGGTTTAGGAGCAGGCTGAGGGAAGTAAAGAGCTGGACCTCAACACTGCTGTCCATTTAGAAAAAATATGATCTCTGACTTTAGGTCCAAATTTAGCCCTGGAGATACAGCCCTGGAGATTGACTTCAGCGGACTTGCACTAAGAATTCTTTTGGTTCTTAATTATTCTCTAGCTGGATTTTTTGACTGCAAGAGTTAAAAGTTGTTAAGACCATGGTGTGGCATTGATACCAATGATAAAGCTGTTTCCTACAGAGGTTTGGTTTTAGTTACATGTACAAATGTAGCAAGTGAAGGGTAGAGAGGATAAATGTTTGCAGTTAACTTGTCCATCAGCTCCAAGAGACTTAGACATGTCTTTTTCAAGGTCTACTTAATAATGGATGTGACCTGGTTCTGGCCAGGTTTTGATGGAAACCTGGGTGTTGCTGACCTCTGAGATAAGTGACATTAGAGAGTACACAATGATTTGATTTCACCAATTGCATAATCCTTGCCTGAAGAGGATGGGCACTCAGTGAATGGCAGGGAAAACTAATGTAAATTACAGCTGATGGGCCAGTATTAACTTTTGCCTGAAATCCTCATAGCATTGGTAAGAAAAAGTCACAGGAGAAAGATGAAATCAGCTAAGAAACCCAGAACAGCGTTTCTGTTCCTGTGAGTCTGGTAAACAGTATTTTCTATTTTGATTTTGAAGAAATTTTTTTTATCTCTTTAGCTTTTAAATGGATTTCACAGTTTATAAAAAGAGAGAGAGAGAGAGAGAGAGAGAGAAGTGATTGGAAAAGTAGACTTGAGGATCTCTGTTGTGCAACTGTATTAATGGGCATGAATGGAAGGGATGACTCCTGACTCCCATATGGGTTAGAGCTGATGGTGATAATAAAAAAGGTTAATACTGCATCTGGGTTCCATGCCCCCAAAACACGCAGCCTTCTGCAAATTCAGAAGCAGTCACGCAGTTTAGTAATTGAAAACTGCCTATGAATTCTCCTAGCTCCAAGTTTCAATTCACTTCTCCAGCACGAGGTGGCAGCCTCCTCAGTGTATTTTAGGAATTTTTTTTCATGAGTGGTAAAACTAAAAGCCTGATCCTTAACAGAAGACCAGGCACTTTTGTCTGCATATAGTGGAAAAAATAAGGTGCACAAAGAAATCATGGAAGTTAACATGTCTGTTAACAGACAATCCTCCGCAAAGATTGGAACTTTGGGCTCATGTTGGGCACTAATCATTTTTTAGATATTTACTCTGTTTTGTAGAGTTCTGTGCCCTTTAATTCTTACAGCTGGATTATTGATACCAGTCACCATGTGAGCAGGCCATGCCAGTAACAGCAGTCTCAAGCTTCTGACTAGAGATAGGACAGGGGTAGCCTTATGACCCTCCTACAGCCATTTTGTATCTGTACAGTCTATAGTGGCCTTAGAGTGATCAAATATGATCCATTATATTTCAGGGTCTCTTGGGCGCTTTAAATGAGATGCCTGGGGTGGGCTTCGTCACTTGACTCCAGTATCAGCAAGATGCTGGCACAATAGCAGTGAATAGGGCCTAAGACTGACCTCACTGGAGTCAGTGAGAGTTTAATTATAGACTTTGCTAAGAACAAGGTCTGGTGGGAAGTGCTCCAGGAGCTGAAATCCCCTTTCTCCACACTCTAGCCCTTAACAGGGACATAGCAGCACTTCCCATGAGTTTGGCTTTTCTCACCTGCCAGAGGACTCATGTCCATCTAAGCTCCCACCGAGAGTTGTCTTAACAAAGCAAGTTTAATAGGTGCAGCTGCATTTCAGAGTCCCAAACCACCCTTCTCCCACTCCATTCCTAGGATTCAGTCAGCCCCTAGCCACACTCCAGAGTTAAGACACCCAGACTCCTCACCTCTGGGAGCTGTCAGGCCAGACTGCTCTCAGCACGTCAGCGCCAGGGGCGGTTTGGAACCAAAGCGTTTCTGTCTCGCATGTGCCCACTTGTCTTGTCTTTGCTTCCTCCCCTGACATGTTTCTTTAACCTCACGATCCCCTCATCTTCCAGCTGGGTTTTGTTCTTTATCAAAAAGTAATCAGGGGTGAGGGGGTGGAAAGGAGACTTCCTCCCCCGCTGATGATTTCATTTGCCATTAACCAAGGATCTAAAAAGAAATCCTAGGGCTCATTAAGAATCTGATGACAGTTCAACCTTCTTATGCAGAAACCTAACACCGAACCCATCATCCTCTCTGCCTGAATCCAGGATGGTTTCAGTGTTAGCTCTGACTATTGAACCAGGTGGAGAGCTATGGAAAGCATAATCATGCTGATGAGTAAATAGACATCAAGAGGTTTTACTTAGACATTTATCAGATCTTCATTTCAAAGGATGTTTCAAAATATAGTAAATACAGTTCTGCAGGGAGCAGAGTCTCTCTGCCACTGCATCAAGAAATGGGTGCTAACCTCTGTTCCCATCACCTAGGAACAGGGCTGAAGCATGTCTTAAAAATGCCCCATAAACAGAAGGCAGACAAGGTTCTTTGGGTAAATACGATAGTTTTTATTAGAATGACTTAAGTAGTTGGAAAAATTCTTCTTTGCAAGCCTTTGGGTATAAAAACCCTTTGTCAGGCTGAGGAAGCATCTGCAGTTGGTGTGTGCACGCTCTTCCTGGATGGAATGAATAGTAAAGAAGCCAGAGGCTTCTACGCATGCAAGACAGGCAGTCAGTGAAGATGTAAAACATGAAACAGGATTGTCTCATGTCTGTAGGGCTGTTCTGATTCTTGCAATTCCAATGAATTCTCTCCTTCCCATTTACATTGACTGATTTTTTTTCCTCCCAGCTTGGTGAAGCTCCTTCGTTCTCTAGACAAAAGGAGGGGGACTTCAGTAGGACCCAATTAAAAAAATCCCTGTAGTGCTCTATCAAAAGCAAAATCATGGTGTGTCATCCAGTCTTTTATTGCTAACAATGTGACCACCTCTGAACAAACGGTTTAGGTGCATCCATCACAAATGTGATGGATGCACCTAAAAGTTCAATATATAACACCTCCCTTCTGTGGCCTAATAGTCACTAGAATGCATCACTGTCTAGGAACAAACTGATGTTCTCATGTTGCAGGAGTGACTGTGAGAAACCCCCTAGCTCCTGCACTGCAGGTCCACCGTGATTAATTATGGTGTGTTCACCCCCTCAGGGCTTTTCACATTTAGTGCAGTGTCCATCTGTAATTGAGCATCCTGTTCAGGAAACTGAAAATGCCTTTCATCTCCCCCATTAATCACCTGGTTGCCTTGTCCTTCCCTCTTATGGGCCTTTCACAGGCCATTACCTGGATGCAGGGGATGAAGGTGTTTGGGTCAGTTCTGCCCTCTCTGCCAAGATGACAAAAATAATGTTAAGAACCAGATATCATACAACACTTTTCAGTAGAGCCAGCCTCAAAGGTGCTGTGCTACTGCTCTTATAGTCAGGGTAGGGGAAGTCGAAGTTGCTTGATAATTTTACCCATCTTTATAGATTTAAGACAATCAAAATGTTGGATGACTGAAAACTAGTATTTAGGTGAAGTCTGAAGTTTTACGTATCAGCTCTCGTCCAAAGAATCTTTAAAAGGGCACGAATCTTCACAGACACATCACTCCTGTAAAAATATAATAAAAACAAAAAAACAGGAAGAAGGTTTAAAACCCAGACAAGCAAAATACAACTTTACAGCGTGGCCCAGAACCATTCTAGTCAGAGAGAAAAAGCCTGAAACTTGTAGCTAGGAAAAAATAGATTGCCTAAAAATGAATAAAATGTAGCCAGAATGGCTTGATTCAAACACATTAGCTAGGCAGGTGGAGATTTGTGACTGCTCATTTTGACTGGTTAAAAACTTTGCATTTCCCATGTATGTTGATAACCCTGCCTCTCCAAACTCACCTGGATCTCTGGCTTGTCTTATTATGTGTTGTCTTTTACACTGTAAACTGCTTGAGGCAGGACCCAACCTAGTTGTTGCCATTATTTGCTACCACAATATAAGAACTGGTCACTATGATGCCACTTTTTGGGGGTGGGGGTGGGGGGCAGGTTTCTAGAAAAAAAACTCTCTTAGAAATCTCAGGAAACAAAACTTTGAGATGTCCTATAAAAATAGAGCTGCTGGCATTTTATAGATTCCTGAAATGCCAATACGACGGCCAGTTTGGATGTCAGTCTCTTACACAGATCGCACAGATGCTAAAATTTTGTCCTGCACTGGGGTACTACGTAATAGGAATTGCATCTGACTTCATTTTTTAAAGATAAACGTGCTTTAAATTTCTCCTGTGCAGTTCTGTATACTGTTCAGAGCTAGCTGTCATTTCATGCATTGTATTTTGAACTTGTTTACTTTGTTGTGTCCGGAAGGGCTTCAGGGTGACATTTTGCTGGCAGGGGCTGGAACTCCTAGGTGAACCTGAGCCCTTGGAATAAGGTTGAAGTGCATAGACGTGGGGTTGGCTTTTTGTATGTGGCAAGTCACCCTGAAAGAAGCAGAAATTGCCCATGCTTTAACTTGCTGTTTTTGTTCTTGGCTCTCTAAAATACCCAGAGATTTAGTAGATGATTATCCGAGTCCTGTTCTGGAGGATTCTGAGGGTCTTGTGTGTGTATCAGACCCTCATGCCTCAGAGATGCATGCTCCGCTTCTCTCCTCTGCATGAAGCCTGTGGTTCTCAACCTTTTTGTACCTGAGGCACCCCTCAGAAAATGCCAACTCTTAGGTTTTATTTGTTACTTGACTGCAGAAAAATACTAGAGCAATGTTTCTATTGCAAAGAACTCAGCAAGACCATAGCAGGTCAGTATGTTTTTAACCCTAGGAGTTTGTACTTGAAATCTCTGGGTTTATCTTGTGAATCACGTTTGCTTGCCTAGCAGTGCTAAGATTGCACGGCACCCTCAAAAGGATCTCAAGGCGCCCCAGGGTGTAGTACCCTGGCTGAGAATCCCCAGTCTTTGCATTGCTCTTGCCCATTTTGTTACTGAAGCATCTCTTGAGGCTGTTTGGGTTAGACAGCACGCCCAGAGGTCTTCCAGAGCCCTTTAGAAAGGCCTGTTCATCGAATCCGGCTGCACAGCTGCTACCTCAGACCAAAGCCCCTGTCCCTACAGCCAGACATCCTATCCCCGCTCACCCTCCCACTCCCCCAGCTGCTACGTCAGGTGCTCTGGGATGATGGCAGGGAGACGCAGGAGTTCATGTACTAATAACCTCCCTGGAAGGTGATCGCCAGGGATCCCAGTTTTCTCTGATTTAAAAAAAATCCCCAATTTTCGGGTTAAAAAAATTAACCCCAAATCCACCTTTTCCCATGATTTAAATGAAAGACCGCTAATATATAGATATATACACAGAGGTGTTTCATTTTAATTGTGGAAAAAGGTGGATTTGGGGTTACTTTTTTTACCTGGAAATGGGGGATTTTTTTAAATCAGAGAAAACTGGGATTGCTGGTGACCGGCAGGCCACAGGGGATGCAGGGCTGAGCTGATGACACCTGCGGCCCAGAGGTGAGGTGTGGGGTGGTGGGCAATTGAAGGGGCTTTGACATTCAGGCCTAGAAGGCGCAGGCTCTCCTGCTATACACGGGGCATTACGGTAATTGACAGGTGCGCGGGGGCGTGGCCGGGCTGACACGAGACACGAGCCCCTGCAGCGCGTCGGCTCCTCCCATTGGGCCGCGCCCTGCTCGCCGATTGGCCGCCTGTTAGGACCCGTGGCCCTCTCTGCGTCCACCACCGCCACAATAATAACCCAGTGAGATCAGCGGGAGCCGCCCACTTCCATTGGTCCGAAGCCCCTTCGCTCTCTGCCTTGCTCCGCCCACGAGCCGCTGCGCTGTCCGCTGTGACGCCTCGCTTGTCCCCGAGAGGCCCTTCCGGGTTGGGGGGGCGGGATGCCGCCGCTGATTGGCTGAGCGGTGCGCCCGTCACGGTCAGCTGGCCCGGCAATTGGCGAGTCGCGGCTGGCGCTGTCACGAGCCCGATGTGTTAAAGGGACCGCGGCGACCCCCCCCCGAACCCTGCAGCCGGCGCGGCGGCGCCATGGCCTACCAGGGCTTCGCGCAGGAGTACATGGGCATCCCGGCCGTGACGCGCGCCTACACCACGGCCTGCGTGCTCACCACCGCCGCCGTGGTAAGGGTGCGGGCGGGGTGGGGAGGGGAGGGGAGGGGAGGGGAGCGGGCTGACCCGACCCGACCCGACCCATGTGCCTCTTGCAGCAGCTGGAGCTGATCACGCCCTTCCAGCTCTACTTCAACCCCGAGCTCATCTTCCGCCGCTTCCAGGTGAGCCCCACACCCCGCCCCTGGTCCGGGTCCGGGTCCTGCCCCGCCCGTGCTGGGGCCTGGCGAGGAGGGGCCCCAGCTCCAGCTGCCTCTGCCTCTTCTCTTGCAGGTCTGGAGGCTCATCACCAACTTCCTCTTTTTTGGGCCCCTGGGATTCAGTTTCTTTTTCAACATGATCTTTCTGTATCCTTTTGTGTCCGGAGCTCTCTCCTGCCTCGCCCGCCCTGCTGTCCTGAGGACCTGCTTGCCAGCCGGGCTCACCTGCCCCTGGTGGTCTTCCCTGCCCCCGCGCAGGGGGCTGGGCCGATGATCTGCAAGGTCCTGTCCAGCCCTGACAGCTGTGACGCTATGATGCTCCTCTAGGAGCAGCGGGTGCAGCGGTGAGGGGGGCTGTAAGGCCGTGTTGACCAGGTCACTTGCCGTCTGCCTGCGGACTGGTCAGTTGAGGCAAAAGATGGATGGCGACGCCTGGCTCTGGGGGTGGGCGTCTGGCTGGCAGCTCCCTTGGTGAAATCGCTTCCGTGGCGGGCTCGTCGACGGCCGGGCGCGCAGGGCACCCAGCTGTTAATTTCCTATACTGCAACCCCTCCCTTGTCCCCTGCTCCCAGGTACAGGTACTGTCGCATGCTAGAAGAAGGCTCCTTCCGGGGAAGGACGGCGGACTTTGTCTTCATGTTTCTCTTCGGGGGATTTCTCATGACAGTATCCTTTGAGCTGGTGGAGGCCCTCTGGTCCTGTCTCCTCTGAGACTGTATAAATAGGCCACTTGGCCACTCGTTTCTTTCACTCAAAACTCTCCTGAGCTGTCTGGTAGCCTGAGCCCCTGCCCAGAGCCTGGCTTCCTGGAGAGAACAGGGGCCAAAACTCTGACTGCAGCTTGCCGGTTTCCTTGTGGTCTGAGGCCTGGTGTCACTTCCGTCCGACACATGCTCTGTGTGCCTGGGAGGGCTCTTCTGTACCGAGGCTGCAGGATGTCGGGCTGCCACCAGCAGATGGGCAGCCCCGGTGGCTAATTCCTTTGGCCGTGCTGTGCCCCTGAAGGGGCTTGTCTGCGTATCAAGCAAAAGATAAAGGGGGAAACTATTTCCTTGAACTGACAGCAGGGGTGCTGATGTATGTGACTGGGGATAAAAATGATGCGTGATCTTGGGGGCAGGAAACAAGCAGTTTAGTAGGCTTAGCATGAAAGAAAGCCATCCCAAGATCATCATTAGGTGAAACCAGTGAGTTCTTGTTCTTGAGTTTCCATCTCGGGGGGGGGGGACAGTTACTGCACGATAATGGCATGTTAGTGTCTCCAGGCGATTGGCACGTGGGGACTTGGCAGCACTCAAAACAGAGAACACTTAGTGTTGAACTCTGAGTGAGTGGCAAAAACAAGAGGTGTTGTGTGTATGGATGGAGTTGAAAGCAGGTCCTGGTCCTGAATCTAGCAGACTGTGTGAGAAGCTTCTGCTGTACTGCTTATAACCGGTGTGTGATGGGGTACCTGTTATACGCAGTCTCCTTCAGCTTTGGAGCTATCTCAAAGCACAAGAAAAATGCCTTGAGAAGGGTGGGGACCCTGTTGTCTGGGGCTTGGTGAACCCACCATCCGGAAAGAGATTTCCCACACGATGCCCTCTTCCCATAGAGCTGTGCTTATCTTCACAGGCAAATGCTGCCTGAGCAGACACCTCCGCCTTGCTACAGAGGTGTTAAGAGCTTAGTCACTTGCCAACCCTCCTACAAGCTGCAGGGTGTGGCCCACACTTTGAAACTGTTTAAGCTTGGGTTTAAGTCTCAAGTGCAGAAGGGGGATGAGGCTGTGTAAAACCTTACTTCTGTAGACCTTTGCCTTAGGGTCACTGGGTATTCAGAGGTTTGTGGGTACCCGGGGAAAGGGCTCCAAGCAGCAGGAACTTTTGTTTATCTTCTACAAAACCTACTGCAAAAGTGTTGGCTGCTCCTTGGGACCTTGGAGGACTGTTCAGGAAGGTGCAGGCCTGGCTGGCTCCTGGCCATTGCAGTGAGGTACAGAATCTCTTTCTGCCATGGCTACAATTCAGACCTGGGGTGCTTGCTTCAGCCAGTCTG